CACTGTTTCACTCTTTTCCATCAAAATACATATTTTCTGCACACTATCTCCTTATATATAAATTTGTTGGGGAATGGTAGCACAAATAAGACACAAATTTTATTTCTTGTTTAGATACTGTTCTGAGACATTCATAAGTTCAGCAAATTCACATCAAAATGTGAAATAAATAATATTCTTTTTCCATTCCTTATCTGAGTCTTCTCTCTTTTCATGACTTACGAATGCATTCAGGTTGAATCCCACTCCATGTAAGATCAGGAAGGCAGGTTCGAGTTGTAGACCCTTGAAGAAGATAGCCTTTTCTACAGTGAAACTGCACAATGTTGCCTACCTATTGAAAGATTCAGAGTAGATCAATTTGATCAGTGATGAATTCAACACATCCCTCTCTACACATATACATACTAACCTAACTAATATAAGATATTTTTAAAACACTAGTTGCTACACTAAAAGGTCTATCAACAACCTGGATATGGCACTAGATGAATAATCGGTTTTCTTACAGATATCTGTCGTAATTAGGGTTGTATCAAACTGTGCTCCCTATTTTCATAGACATGTTTTGATATTTCTCTCTCTTTTACAGAGAGGTGAAAAACTTCAGGAAAAGTTTATGAAAAGGATCAAAAGAAGTTGAGCTTATCTTAATAAATGTACAAAATGGCCAAGTGATCGTCTTCAACATCTTAATTGTTTTGTTCCTTTATATTTAAAATGTGCCCTGCTCTTTCACGTTTCACAAGCTTCTACCGGTTCCTAATAGATCCATGCAAACATACAACTAGACATAACCTGGTCCATGGCAATGACTGTGAAAAGGGGTCAGTGGCTCCTTTCGTACAATAAGTCATTTCATACTGGTGATGCGTCATCCATGTCACTGATGTCATTGCCAAGGAGACAAGGCTAGTCCCACACATTCAAATTAACCTCTTCAGGCAGCTGAATACCATAAACACCTCCTTCATAGTGTAATTAAATGAAGGTAATTTTGTCCCTGTATTTTTTAATGGCTATTAACCTGATTTTATGTCATTTTAAACTTTGTTTATTAATTACAGTTTACTATTTTATTGCATGCTTGATAAATCCATATTATGTTATAACGTATGGGTTGCAACAATAAAATATAACTGAACTGAACTGACCACTTCAGGCATTTGGACTTAATGACCAAGTAGGGCTACATATAAATGAATTCAGTGCAATACGTTTACAGTGATTTCTTTTTTATTATGATTATTTGATTTGTTTATCTTATTTTTATTCACAATGCACCTTTTATAGCTAAACAAACTCATTTGCCTGTGCTGCCAATATTATCCTTTTTGTGAGCATTAAATTCACTAGAAAGAGTTAGCTTTCTCAGTTTGCCTTATCTCCATACTGTGTTTCATACAAAACGTGATAAAACTGACCCAGAGGCTACCACAAATATAATGGATCTATTTTTATTTCTAAATTCCGAATGTGCCTTGGAACCCTTCAGAATTAATATATACATAAATACTGAATGTACATGGATACAAACATGCCACAAAATAGACTACAAAGAAATAGAGTTTAATCCTTTGCATGTATGACAGATTGCTCTAAATAAATCCCCATTATTTCAGCTCCATTCTGTGCTGTCCAATAATGGTTGTTGGTGCTATAAACAATTTTCTTGTGTTACCACCAATATTCTATGCAAACATCTCAAGTCTCAAAGTTCATTTCAGGAAAACAATCTGCTTCTGAAGCTTGCAGATGAAGTTGGCAAAAACTGACACCTGAATATATTTTGCCTTTATAAAATGCATGCAGCTGTTTTGGAAAGCTTTATAATATATAACAAAGCAGTAGACATGTTGGTGAAGACATTAAATGTACAAAAGTAACGGTTGTGATTTGTTACAATCTTATTTACTTCTCACAGATCAGACTGAAAACAGGGCTAGTAACCTGGCATGTATCTAGATTAAAATCAATAATTTTATTAGTTTCAATTATAGTGTAACAAACCCAATAATTTGATCAGAAATCTTCCCCCCTTCAGTTTATCCTGAGAGACTCTCATCTCTGAAATTCCAATACTGCTCCATTTTATGCTTCTACAGGAAGAAAACCCTGGCTGGTACTGGGGAAACCATGTTTTTTGTTCAGGGCAACACTTCTCTTTCTCTGACTGCCCTCCTCAAGTTGCAAATGTGACCTTTTGTTCAGGAATAATGTCAGTGCTGCCTTTAGGGTAAAATTTCTACTGTGGTGGAATGGAGCAAGCACCTGGACATGCTGTTAAAATGTTGATTGGAAAGCAAATCTCATCAAAGATTATCAAAGACTGAATGTAAGAGGAAAGGGATAGCACGTTTTACAGCCAATAAAAACTGGGAATATGTTTGTGAACTTGGTCCTGGGTGAGGAAATGACTCAGCAGCCACTTGAAAGAATCCACATTGAACTAGCTCCATAAAAACTGTGCTTCAGGAGACCAAGGAACACAATGAGCTGACTCAGCTTTAAGCTATGCTATGCTATGCTATCCCAGGTTCCACAAACTTCTAGAGGCTTTGTCTATCACCAGTTCTTGAGAACAATGGCAGAAAGAACATCATTCCTCCATTATTGGTTTTTACATACAGACTAGATCGATCCTTCCTTCCTTCCTTCCTTCCTTCC